ACACACACACAGGGCAGTGCCTTCCTTCGTTCACACGTCTGTTTTCATGACTCACTTCTTCCTGAGCAGCGACAGGATGCTGCCCGTCCCTTCATGTCCGATGAGCCAGGAGATGTAATGAAGAGGCTTCACTCTGACACAGGAACACAAACAAACGTGTTCACACACTCAGCTGTGAACATTTCAAATGACCGAGCCGCAATCCACACACACACAAACATCAGACCGGACGTTCAACACTACAAGCTTTGTGTGACGGTGGTCTGCGATGATGTGAGGATAAAGCATTTAAGAGTTCAGTGATGTCAAAGCGAGTGAGTGGTCATTGTGTTTTCTGCAACACGCTGAGTATTTCCTGATTGAGAACACGGTCTATTTCCTGATGCACAAGGAAAACTTTCAGATTCATTCAGGAGAGTAAACAGCTTCAAACTGAGGATTCGTCTTACTGATGGTGACTATGATGTTAGACTACAGCCACGTGCACTAGCCAGGCTGCGCATTACGATCAAAATGGTGATCAGTGATTGCTGTGCAATGAAATCTGAGTGCGAGCTGACTGAGACTCCTGCTCTTTAACTTGTGATACATCTCAGCCGGCTGCGCTGAACAGTCGAGGGTTAAAGGTCAGAAAGTGACTCACCTGTAATGCTTCCCCTGTGGCGGGACGGCCCAGCTGATGGTCAGAGCATGAACCTTCCTCACAGGCACCACTGCAACACACAAGCAGTCTTCATCAATCCCAATTTCTCACTGAAACATCATTACTGTCAGAGTTTCAGGATGTCTCCATGGAAACAATGTGGGAGGAAACCGAATGGCTTCACTTCCTGGAACTCTGCTGTCAGGTGATGGAAGACTGGCCAGTCAGAGAGGGGAAGTGTTATCTAAGTGTTATAGTCTTATTGGCCCGAGAGATTGACATTAGTGATTACAGGTTGATTCTGATAAACTGTATTGATCAGGCAGTGGGTCTCCTCCTGACTGTGAGGTGTTTAGATTTAGATTCAGATTTCTGCCTCTCTCAGTTTTACTAAGGACGACCTGATGCTGAGCCACAGGTGATAAACCAGGTGCTACAACAGGGACAGGAAACACACCTGGAAGCAGCAGGTGCTCATGCTCCATATTCATAACCAAAGGATTGCTGCTAATAATAACAACAACATGACATAACAATCAATAATCAGTATGAGTCACCTCTGTAGAGTTTGTTAAAGGCCGGCGTGTCAAACGGCTGCTGCAGGTGAGAGAAGTCAGGTCGAGGTTCACCGCTGGAAACAAACACAGGCACGTTGACGTAATTTCCATTACTGATCCATGTGATCAGCACTCTGTCCAGTAATCAATATCAATAAATATCAAACCTCTTCACTTTAAACAGATCAGGTAAGAAGCTGATCAACAGGTTTAACTGATGAAAGAACTCATCATTTATTCATTTAAAGATTCTGATGATCACTGTTTATTAATTCTACACAGAACAAAGTTCAGGGTTTCTACAGCAACACGTGATTGGATGCAGACATGTGACATCACTTAAATATTTGTGTGTGTGTGTGTGTGTGTGTGTGTGTGTGTGTGTGTGTGTGTGTGTGGGTGTGTGTGTTGTGTGTGTGTGTGTGTGTTTGGGTTGTGTGTCGTGAGTCTATTGTTAGGGGCACCCTAATGAAGATCTCCCTCACCCACTCCTCCAGCGTGTCCAGAGTCTCTGAAGAACACAAACACTGTGATCCAGCTGTTACAGAGCTCGTTTCTATCCGCAGTTTCAGTTTAAAGCTGAACTTTACTCTATATATAAACAGCGTTCAGTCCAGTCTGTTGGCACTTTGTGTTTTTGCTGCTTTCTGTGACACATTAGGAATAAACAGGTGCAAGGCTGAACTCAGCTCATCAGCAGGACAAGTCCTGCCCACAGACTCAGAGTGAAAACACGTGACAGACCGGCATGGTGGCGGTTCTACTGTTACCTTTGGACTGAACAGTGAGTGTCATGTACTGAGCTGAGTAATATCTCCTCCAGAAGTCCCTGAGCCGCTCGTAGGAGTTGATCTGCTTCTCTCGGGGCTCGTGCTTTAATGTCTGAGCGTTACCTGACGGGAACAAAACGACACCTGTTAAACACAAAAATCTGTCCACAACCAACAAGTGTGTGCAGGTCTGCCTGGGCAGGAAACACAATGCAGCAGGTGCAGCAAAAGAACTGAAAACAGACCTAGCAGATTACAGGCTATGAGCGCAAGCCCACTGATTTAGACATCTGTTAAAAACGTGTTACTACACCTTCATGAGAAGTTCCCTGTTACTGAGCCCTGATCAGACTGAACCATCAAACAAATCCAGTGGAGTGTGTGTGTGTGTGTGTGTGTGTGTGTGTGTGTGTGTGTGTGTGTGTGTGTGTGTGTGTGTTCTCACCCCAGCAGAACTTGCTCATCGGGTGTCCCGGTTTGGCCAGACTCCCAAACAGCATCTCCTTCCGGTGGGAGTCGGACGGCCTCGCCAGCTGAAACTCTGAGTATCAGAGGACAGGAAGTGACATCACAGAGGGAGATGTAAAGAGAGGGAGGAGAAGACCGCGAGAGGGCGCCGTAATGTATGGCAGATTTTAATATTTAAACATGTTTGGACTCACCGCTGTCGACAGCCTCCACCTCTCTGTCGACGGCGTCCTCGATCATCAGAGGACAGATGAAGAACTGAGCCCACCTGAAACGCAGACAGCACGTCAGAGCCACAGCTGGTGTGTCAGCTGAGACTGAGAAAGGCAGCAATATGTGTAGTTTAAATATTGTGTCCAACAGTTTGTCTGGTAGGAGAGCTCAGTGTGTTATAGGACAGTTTAAGCTCATGACACTAATGTGTGTGATTTTTACAACGACCAGGCGGCCAGAGTGTAACAGTTAAGCTGCTTTTCCTCCTTTTTGTAAACGGCGACCCTCTTCATTTGAAATGTTAACATTTGTCCCTGAATGTTAAGGAAATGTCTGCCAAGCAGAGGACATGCTGACGACACTGCAAAAAAAACAATTTTCAAGAAAGTAAAAAACCTTGGTTATGGACTTTTTTTCTATTCTATTCATATTCTTAACAAGCAAGTTTTGCACAAGAACATTAAGCTCAATCTAGAAAAAAATGTCTAGCTTTTTCTCAATAAGATATTTCAGCTCATTTCCAGCTTTATTTACCAGTTACAGGGTACACTGCAAACACAGCTTTGCTTGAAATAAGCCAAATATTCTTAAATCTGACAAAATTGTTTTGTTTTGACAAAAAAAAATCTGCCAATGGGGAAAGCAAATGTTGCTCCGTAAAATTAGCAAATTAATCTAACCGTACTCTTTAAATAAGAAAAATAATCTTATTCTGGAAGAACGAGACAACTTTTCAATTTAAGAACTGTATTTGACAGCTGAGAGCGGCCGGCCTGGATTTGAGCAACCGCTGCTGGCAGATTTTTCTTCTCAAAAGAACACAATTTTGTCAGATTTAAGAGTATTTGGCTTATTTCAAATAGAGCTGTTTTTGGCAGTGTACACACAGAGACAGCGGAATGTGGGAACTTTTTAACAGTTTCTGATATTTCTGAACCACAAATACATGTCGGGAAACAGTGGGTATAACAGCCTCTCCATCCTCCAGATCGCTTGTGTCCTCAGCCGTCCGTCTGTCCGCTGCTCTAAAAACAGCCTCAGGACAATGTTACCCCACAGCGTCTGCAGTGAACAGCTGACCTCCCATCAGAGGTCCAGATGGCCCAAAGAGCTTCCGTCCGCTCGCAGCGAGGGTGCTGCCTTCACACGCCTGAAAGCTCACAGCGGATCCCACGAACAGCAGGTAACAGGAAACCCGAGGAGCTCACCTGTCGAGCGCGTCTCTGAAATGCTTCCTCTGCACATCGAACTGGAAGATGGTCCGCTCGCAGTCTGTGGAGGCGTTGTCACTGCCGCCGTGCTTCTTCAGGAAGGCGTCGAAGCCGTTCTCCGCCGGGTATTTCTCACTGCCCATGAACACCACTGAGGGGGAGGAGGAGGAAGAAGCACAGAGCGGTCAGAGCATGTCTCTGCTGGCCAATCACAAGTTGCCAGCAGCTCCTGGCAACTTGTGACCCAATCCTGGGTTTAAACTACGTAATCGTCTGTAGGTCCAGCAGGTTAACGTGTTAACGTTCAGATGTTTAAGGCTCCTCATGGTGATGTCTGGATTATTTCAGGCTGCTGGTGAAAGCAGCTACGTGGGAAATACCACTTAAAAAGTCAGTGCCGCGTCACCACGTGTCAGAACAACCTGTAAGAGTCAGACTGTGCTGATTTGTGCACCCAGATGTTCCCTTTGCAGCAGGAAGTCTTTAGCTTTTTAAACATTTCTCATAGTGAGGACTTCCTGATGAGCTTTTGGAGGCTCGGATGGAAGCCACACAGGCTGAACTGACCACGTTTACAGCTTCTTTTTCCAGCAGTACTCATACAAGTGAAAAAAAAGCATGTTTCTAATATTTTGGCAGCATTTTAATATTAAAGTTTCTCCAGTGATTTCAGTAAATTCATGTTATTTACTCATAACTCACAGCAGGTACTGCTAACAGAGGCAAGTTTGCATTTGCATTTTAGCTTCTGTAATAAAGTCTCTTTGTGCTGCATCATCAGGATTCTCCTGAGGCGGTGAGGCGGGTTTAGTGACACTGTTTAAGGGATAGCTGAAGCTGCAGGATTCAACAATGAAAGCACGTGGAGGAAAGTGAGGACTTTGCAATCCCTTCTGAAAACATGGATGTTTAATTTGATTCCAGCTGTTGGCTGGACTCCTCCTTGTCCCATTGGCTGTGAGGGCCAACGCAGCTGTATTCATGTGAGTGAGGCGAGGTGTACGATTGCTTCGTGTTTGGTGTGAGTGCACCGTGAGAGTGGGTAGATTTGGGTGGGAAGGTTTGACGCTGGAAACAGACACCTGATGATGACTGTTCATTGACTTTCACATCTCATTAATAAAGCTTTATTCTAATTAAAACCATGGATGATCGTTTGTAAGACAAGCTCAGGTGATGTTTGCGATGACGTTCACACTCACTGTGCTCCAGGAAGTGTGCGAGGCCGGGCAGCTCATCAGGGTCACTGAAACTCCCCACACCAATGCACAGAGCTGCTGCAGCCTGAAAACACATAAGGGTCACTGCCGGTGGATCTGTCACAGAGAGCTGACGTAGTTAAACTGTTTTTGTTCAGAGACACTCCAAGGAAGAGGATGAGCCTTCATCACCCATCCTCCACACACCCACCTGCTTCTCAGAGCTCTTCTTCTTCTTCACTGGGTTCTCCTCTTCCAGCTCTTCAAAGTCGCTGTCCTGCTCTTCCTCTGCTCTGTCCCCTTCTTCCTCCTCTGAGCCCTCACCTGAGTCCCCTTCATCTTCTTCCCCACCCTCCTCCTCTTCCTGCTCTTCCTCCTGCTCTGCCGACTCTCCATCGCCTCCCTCCCCGTCGGCCCCACTGAAGTCGGAAATGAGGAGTGCTCGGAGGCCGTTGCTCAGCTCGATGTATCTGCAGGAGACCAGAAGAGTTTATACAGTGAACGCTCAAGTAACGTCACACCTGGATCTCAGGTAACAACTTTAAACACTGACGTTCCTGTCAGAGAGGCGTCAGACTAAACTGAGAGAAACAAAGTGCAAAGCCTGAAAGAAATGCAGAAACGAACACTAATTTTCTGAAATGAAAAATAAAATGAACCTTCAGGAGGACCTTACACAAATAACAGCCTGGGGGGG